ATGCGGTCCGGTGTCGGCGTTTCCCGCCTTGGGTTTCGCGGCTTGCGCTCGCTGCGGGGCCGGCCGCGCTGGCGCGAAGCCGGCGGAGCTGCCTGCGGGGCGGCCAGCCCGGCTGGCCGGGGGCACGGCACGGGGGGTGCAAACCGGTTCAGAAACTCTGGGGCTCGAAGGTCTCGTTGTGGAGCCCTACGTGGGACGAAACTCATCCACCTTGGGCTTTCATTTCAAGCCCATAATGTAGCCTTGCTTTGCAAATCTTCTGAGGGATTCACTTTTTCACACGCTCTGAGGGAAACCACAGTTTGATTCAAAATCATACCGTGTTCCACATTTTTGCTTCCGTTTAACCTGAAGCCCTGGAGAGTCTGTCAAGGTTGTGTCTATTTCCTTTGACTCATATTTATCTGCTTTCCAAACTAACATCCAAATTCATGGTCACCGTTCTGAAACACAAATACGTGCACACTCTGTCTCCCTCCTTTCGTCTCCTTGAAAATTTATTGTGAGTCTTGTCTTGCTGCCTTCAGTACACGTTCCCTGCGGTGGAAGGGTAGTAAATTAGAAGGTGAGCACCTTGCACGCTTTTGAAGATATTAGGAAGCAAGACAGAAGTTTAATAAAAGGACTTGGGATAGTGTACGTTGGTGTAAGTACAGAAATGTAATCACACCAATTATTCTACCGCTAAGACTGGAGGTACTCTACACCTTATGCCTTTTGGCAGTAGCATGTTGCTCACATTCTTAATGTATAACTCGAGTCTAATAATTCACTGATACTCCATGATCACACTTGAGCACTTTAAAAAAAAAAAAAAGCCCAGCCCTTTTCATATTGGCTAATACTTCCGTACTGCTCTGAAAGAGAGGTATTTTAGGTATAGGGAATGCAAGGGTTTGACAAAAAAAAAAACCAACAAACCACAAATTCATACTTAATCTTTCCATAGGTAATTTGTCTTCTAGTAATTTGGAGTGGCAGAAATTTCTGGCTGAAAGAAAGGGTTTATTTCTTCTTAAGTTAGAGTTGCAAAAATAATAGAACAAAATTAATATTTGAGCTGTCTTAACATATGCTGATTTAAAACTTTTTGTTTAATTACCCCTCATTATCAGGTATCTTTGTTGTTTCCCTTGAAACAGAAAATTAAAAGAAATACTATACAGGCACTGTATCTAGTCTCTTTGGTAAAAAAATGGACTGCAGAAATGTATCAATGTTCACTGTATTTATAGAAGTAGAATTTGACTTTATTTTTGTCAGTAACATAGTATTCCGTTCGGGTTCCTTGTAGAAAGAGGATAGGATTCACTTTATTTACTGCATCAACATTTAAGTGACATTGTTGGAAAAACGTTTCATCCACCGTTCTGCAAAATCACATTATACTAACTATAGTTTTGTAAGTACTAAATAACTCGCTCTTAAGTGAGAGTTGAGTATTTAAATTCTTCACGTGACTTTTTGCAGTGCCTGAACATTATTTGAAGCAAAAGAAAAAGGCACGCCTTTGGCTCAAGCAGGTGGTAACTTACTGTTTGGCGATCACTAGCAAAGGTACTTTGTTGCTATGTAAACATTTATTACAGCTCATGTGATGTTTCTTTATACTTTATTAGAGGAGTTAGTAACAACACATAATTTGAGAGGTGATCTTTAGTTCATTTTTGTCAGCAGCATTAGTGTATTGTTCTTCAAAAGATTGTTAGGAGCTGCAAGGAGTAACAAATACAGGTTACTTACAAACTTAGGGGAAGTAATTTTATTTATTGGACTTGAGAACATTAGTGTGATGTTTCAAAGAAGGTCTATGTATTTTGATTTATTGTGCTTTGGAAAAATTATATTAAAACATTGGCAGTATAAAAATTTAACTTTGGACTTGAATGTAGCTTTACTGGATTTTTGTAGATGAAAAATTAGATAGGAGCCAGCAATGTGCTCTCACAGCCCAGAAAGCCAACCGTATCCTGGGCTGCATCAAAAGAAGCGTGGCGAGCGGGTCGAGGGAGGGGATTCTGCCCCTCTACTCTGCTCTGGTGAGACCCCACCTGGAGTACTGCGTCCAGCTCTGGAGTCTCCAGTCCAAGAAAGACCTGTTAAAGCAGGTCCAGAGGAGCACCCTGAAAACAGTCAGAGGGCTGGACCACATCTCCTGTCAAGAAAGGCTGAGAGAGCTGGGGTTGTTCAGCCTGGAGAAGAGGAGGCTCCAGGGAGACCTTATTGCGGCCTTTCAGTAGTTAAATGGGGCTTAGAAGAAAGATGGAGAGAGACTTTTTACCAAGGTCTGTAGTGATAGGACAAGGAGTAATGGTTGTAAACCGAACGAGGGTAGATTTAGATTAGATATGAGGAAGAAATTCTTTACGATGAGAATGATGAGACCCTGGAACAGGCTGTCCAGAGAAGTTGTGGATGCCCCATCCCTGGAAGTGTTCCAAGGCCAGGGTGGGGGGGGCTTTGAGCAACCTGGTCTAGTGAAAGATGTCCCTGCCCATGGCGGGGGGGTTGGACTAGATGATCTTTAAAAGTCTGTTCCAACCCAACACAAACCATGCTATGATTCTGTGGTTTAACAAAATTATCAGACTACTTCCTGTATGGTTAAAACACTGATATAAATTTATGCTTGTCAGTGCAATATCATATTACAATCATTAGAAAAACAGATGTGTCAAGATATGCAAATAATAACATCCATGTCAGTGATTTGAAAACACATGAAGGTAAAGGAAATAGTCGTGGAAGAGACCTAAAATAGACTATGCTGGTGGTACTTGTATCCCCACTTTTCTTCTATTTTATTCATAGTCTGGTTTCCACGGATTTTATGTTTATCATATGTGACTATTTTCTTTACCACATTACCTTCTGAGGAAAGTCAGGTAATTTCAATTAGCTAAGGTGCATAAAGAGATCTTCTGTGCAAAGTGTCATGTAAGCTCATTGTTTTGTTTTGTCACCTACATAGCACTCTTCAGTTTTTAAAATATTGTGTCCTAGAATAAATTTTGCCTTGGCACCTCCAATTTGAGAAGGGTTATATACTGATTTTTAAATCTATCTCTTTCCCATTCCGCACTTCTTACTGTCCATAGCTGTATTTGATTAAAAAAAAAAAAAAAAAAAGAAGCACTGATCACACACGTGCACTCCCGCTGCCTTCTGGGTGCATACTCCATGGACTTTTTCCACTGCTGGTGAAAAGTTTATTTATTTGTCATTGGCAGTCATTCTCTTTCTAACAGAAAACAGAGGTAGCTAAAAACTATTTGAGGAGGAAGGGCTGGTTTGAAGGCTCAGGGACCGAAACAGTAGTGGGGCAATCACATTTTCTAGATACGTAAGCATTTCTAGATACAGAAGCACTCTGAGCGTTGATAAAAAGGATATTGAATAGCACCTTCTAAATCTAGCCAGATTACTTGCACACTTCACTTCTCTGGTATGTATGTATCACATCTAGACCATTTTTCCTAGTGAATCCATTCTGGTATTTAAACTATGGAGGTTGGGGATTTCTGGACTGGCTTGTAAAGATTCCTGGCTTCCTCTGAGAGAAGCTGAGACAGGCACTGCCATGGCCTCTCTTGTAACAGCATGGCCCTGGTACTGGTTTGCTTCAGGCCGTCCCCTGTTACACCTCATGCACTTAAACTGCTTGCTGCCTGAGAATTGTGTTTGCAAGAAAGCTGTTTAAAAATAAGGGTATGGAGAAGCAGCATAGCTTAATTTAGGCAGATTTTGAAAGAGATCTAAATAAAATAAGAAAGTGCTGGCTGCAACGTGTAATTCCAAACTCACTTGTTATAAAGTGATATAGAACAGGAAAGACCTACTTAGCAAACTCCCCCTCCCCAGACATGTTGGTCTTTAATATCTCGGCATGATGCTCAGACAGATCCTATGCAGAATAGTTGTGGTAGCTCTTATTTCCCTGATTTGGTACAGAACTTGCTGGAAGATGGAAGAACAAGCAAGATGAGAACATGACAGCAATGAAGGTTTGGAACAGGAGCAAGAGAGAGGTTAAATATTTCAGTTACTTCTTCAAATCTTGTATTTTGCTACGCACAAGCGCTAAGAAAAAAGCAGCCTTGATCCATGAAGGGAATGCTTAATTTTTTTTTACTAACTACACCTGCCAATTCTTTAGCAAACTCTACAGCAAAACCAAGTGATTTTTGTCTTATATCATATGTATTTTTTAAAGATGAGTAAAGGGTACCTCCCAAGCTTCCTTTGGCTGTCATACACAGACATTCAAAA